TTTCTGAGTGGGAAGCGTGGCGAACTTGTTTATGGTGTGCGATCCCCACATTTCCTCATATTGATTGAAAACTGTATCAGAGACAGCCCAATCATCAGCATCCACAATTCTACTGGTACAATCAGCGCTTTCGTTCGCAGTCCTTGGAATCCATTTTACATTGAGTGAAATGTTTTGCCATAAACGATTAGTGAAAATAGTGCAAATCGTCTTTCATACTGCTGCTCATGGTTAGTTTGGTTTCAGCTTGCTTGTCTGTAAACCTTTTCATTCTATGTTTAGCTAATTTCCTCGCGATAATAACATAACCATTTCTACTTAAGATTTCTCCGTGTAGAACTTTTGTTTTTCTCAATGTGGTGGTCCGTGGTCCAACTTACCTGTGCACATTAACTTGCTACTTCTACAACACACCTACCAAATCCTGAACTACTTGCATCCGAATGTGTTATCTTGGAGGCTTTCGGTTTCGGTCGATAGGTGCACTGTTTAGATTGCAAATATTTTCTTGCCAGGAATTAAGTTCATTCAAAGCCTGAGTAGACAGTACAACAAAAGAGTCCTGAATATTCTAGACTTCATGCACGCATGCACGGCCTTGGTCATGAGTCTAGATATATCTCTTACTGCTAGACTGTAGATGGAATCTTGCCTGCAACCCTCGCCAAAACTCTTGCCTTGGTCGTTGAGGGATCCTGTAAAATTCTCGCAATTTCGTTGTGAATAGCTAAATTTCTCCTGTCTGGTACTCTATAAAAAGAAAACCTAAGTTTACGTGAATGTTGCACCCTCGCCATTCCAATGTTTGAAATGGTTCCCACTGTGACTTCTGCTCATGCGGGACAAATCCTGAGGCAATAAGATCCGTTCTTATGTCATAACTGGCTGGTTTTGCCTCCAGATCAGTGCTGGCACGCCCTAAACCATAAACTAATGCGTTTACATTCACTCCCACATTTTTTGACCAATGGTCGGACAATTGAAGTGAAGATAAAGGGGGCAAAACTGAGACCAAATGGCAGGCACTTGAATCGAAAATATGTTGTTTTACGTTCTAGGTCCCACGCAAACCTTAAAAGCTGTCTGTGACTGGGGTGTATGTCCACATGGTGGTAACACTTTAGATGAAATTCGAAAATGAAACCTGCTTTCCTGAGGAAGTTTTGGGCGTTGTGGATATCCTCATACGGCAAGAGTTCCATATATGGACAACAGGCCCTGTGCACAAACCGATGGAACTTGTCTGAAAAAAACAAACCCTAAGTGGTTTTCAAGTAAATTCTTTGGAATTTTTAAAACAAAATTTCACTTTTTAGGACATGTTATCACTCTCTGAAGGCTGTTATAACATTTAAAGGGAACATTAGTATTTTCCGTATATGTAACTCATTCCCTGTTATGAGTAGAAACTGAAAGTGGGTTAACAATACGTGGCTGTCTCGGGCAAATTTCAACTGAGCCCAAGCTTAATAGCTCTGTTACCACCTTTGAGACAAAGGCGTGATGGGTAAAAGCTGACTTCTTGTTTTTAGCAAATTGAGCCGGGGGAATTACGCAACCATTTTGGACAGTATCCTTAACAAACACAGGGTTGCAATATGGCGCCAAAAGAGTGCATGGTTTCTTAATTAATCGACCACTTTTGATTGCCCGACTTCCCTGATTTTGCTCAGAAAGAGCAGGATTCTCTTCTATTAGCAAATCTGAATCTAGATTTTCTTTCATACTTTGTCAAACGACATTATAAGAGGCCAATCATACTTAACGTTAGATTTAACTACATTAGGGGTTTGCTGTAGCTTGCTTGGTTGTGTTTTTGCCTTGGAACTGCTGTTGTCGTGATGGGCAGCTTCCCTTCCAGTGCCCAAATTTGCCGATGAAAAAGTAACTTCCCTGCCCTGTCTGATTATCTGGATGCCACAAAAAGGCTGAAAAGTGAAAGGAGCAGTGCTAGTAGAGACAAGAATCTGGCCGCTATTGCACTCCTTCTTCAACCTCTTTGACGTCAGTTGGTAGCTTGCTTCTTTTTTATTTTCCTTCTATAACACGTGCTTCGGCCCTTTGAATTTGCTTTCCATCGTCTTCATCTGACGCCAGTTTATTTGTTTCGTATTCCGAAACGGTTGTCTCACCATATGCTCGCTCTGCTCAGCTACTTCTTTCAGTTTCTGTCCTGCAGCAATCGAATCCTTGGCATTTTTATAATGGAAAGGGCGTTGGCTTGGTCGTCAAGTGCCTCGCTTAGCAGCTTACTCATGGACTGGTTGAAGTCAAATTGCCACCTATTCCCCTCTCTTTCCTATTGCGTGCAAAGTTAATATTCAATCCGCGTGCACAGAATGTCTATTCTTAATAGAGGTATCTGTATTAGGAATGAAGGTATCTCTATTCCTAACAGAGATATCTCTATTCCTAACAGAGATATCTCTACTCCTAACAGAGATATCTCTCTTCCTAACAGAGATTCTCTCTTCCTAACAGAGATATCTCTATTCCTAACAGAGATATCTCTCTTCCTAACAGAGATATCTCTATTCCTAACAGAGATCTCTCTATTCCTAATAGAGATATCTCTAATCCTAATAGAGATATCTCTAATCCTAATAGAGATATCTCTAATTCTAATAGAGATATCAATATTGTACGTTCTTGTCACAAGTCAATGATATTTTACGCCAAGTGTTTGATTAATTTGAAGACACAAACTGTATGTTGCCAAGTTGGCCAATTTTCCTTATATGCCTTTTATGCAAAGTAAGGTAGGGTCCTGTATGGTTCACACCTGCATGGGTACACACCAGGCATGGGGACCTGAATAGTGTTTTATAGTGCCTGCTCACTGAGGCGTTGTCCAGCAGTGATAGCCTTAAATACTGGGGTGTGGTTCTGTGTGTNAACGTAGGAAAATCAGACGCACGATGATCACCCTCGAACAGATCCCCCTGTGTTTGTACTGTTCTGGGAAACAAGGTGAGGAAGGTACATGTACATGATATCACTTCTACTTTTTCCCAGGCCACTCCCCTACCACCAAGTTATGAATAATGCAATAACTTTCCCGCTTGTTGTGGGCGTTCCCCACAGATGTCAGTAAAATAGGTTATTCACGTCTACAGTGTTCCCTCCACCAAAGAGTCATATTTATTAACATCAATTGTCTGTAACCCCGCCCCTCTTAATCACATGAATAATGTAACAGAAAGTTCGCCACATGTTCTGCCTGGAAATGGTCGTGGGGGAAACAGCGCCCTCAGTTGTTCACAAAAGCATGGGCTTTCAATAAGTGCACTTTTCAATGCGTATGACTACAGAGCTGGGAAAGGAAAGTGCAGTCGTAAAATCTTACGAGCTCTCGGCGGGCAGTCGCTGTGGCTATGCACCAGAGATAACGCTAATTGGCTGGAATTTCAGCCCGGGAAGTTCAAACTTCGTGTGTTCCGAGCTCTAAGGTTTGCCGAAACAGGAGTTTGAAATACTTTTTATTTGTTGAATAAGAGTATCATATTGTATAAAACTGTGCCTAAGAAAAGAAATTGCAGCTAACTTCATGCACTAAATATCATTACCAGCACACTCTCGTAGAAGTTGGTACCTTAATACTTCCACACAAACACCCCTTGCACAAGGGGTTTGTGCAGAAACCCTGTCGGACCGCAAGTATCTACTCCTAACCACGTTCAATTAACTTGGCTGCCACAGGGGAGTTCAGAGTCAGTGACTGCTGAAACCGGAAGGTATGCTGAACACACTATACAGTAAATGTGTTTTGGGATGCTCACAGTGCACATTGATTATGTCGGTGACCAGGATGGTATCAGAAGGCCGTTTCAACCTCTTCTCGTTTTAACCGTCCACTTTTCTGTCGGTTGTAAAAAAATGTAAATGCATGATGTTTCGTCATGGGTGTGAACAGTTCCTGTTAAATAAATTTCATGCAGCGGGGATATTTTGCCAACATTTTCACCAGCTTGATTGCCCCAACCTTGTTTGTCACAACGCATCCTGTTTGTTTTCGTTTAGTTGTATTTATATAAATTTTTATAAATTTTTTATAAATTTACAAACCGTGATCACAGAAATTTATGAGCATTATAATGCCAACTTTATTAGTTCATTATCTCATTATGTTGTATATTTTATGCTTCAACAAAAGCTGTTTCCTTTGTGGAATTCGCTCACTTTGGAAAGGGTTACAGTTTGGGACAATGATCTAAGCTTCATGACTGTCTTGGGCATTGCACGCGACATTAATTTTGGTGAGAAAGAATATTTTTTACTACGTATGGCTTTGACTGTAGCCTGCAGAAAGGGGAAACAAATGAAAACGTGGCTGCTTGGAATGGCCTTCACGAAAGGCGACATAATTTCTATCTTGAAGATGATAGAATCGAGAGATGGATTTTCTCTGTATGATGACTCTCAGCCGATCCTCAGCGAGGATGATGCAGGTGAGTCGGGTAACAGCAGCGCATCGGACAATTGACCAACTCTCCCTTTGAACTGTCCGAATTTGGGCTAGTGGTAACTATTAACCAGCCAACCAGCCTTCTAGTTTCTATGAAACCCATTTTGTTTTTAAACTGTTGATCTTCTGCATTTTGCTACCCCTTCAGTTTATTGTTTTTGTGGTTTGTATATTTATAAATAAATTAGTTTTCATTAAATTTTGAAGTTAAATTATCTGCTTGAGTGTACTGCATAATTTACCGTGCACACATTGCGTGTCAGAGGGTAGGGGGACCCGGGCTTGTGACAATTTGAGGGCTTGTCAGGGAAAATCGGAAAAATATTAGAAAAGGACCTGTCGCACTAAATTAGAAGAGGTATATGTTTTCTCTACTTAGTTTAATTATCCAGTACACTCGGTCATAAAACTAGAAATGTAGCCTTTCAGTCGACTTAGGAATATGTGCGAATAATGTACGATGATGAGAATATTTTTGCCTATGGTCGCTGTCTCACAATATGATGGTTTCTGTGAAAGCTAATCAGGACACACGTATTGTTTTGGCTTACTTGTTGTGGGATGGTGGTAAAAATACCCTTTGTCTCTACAGTCTTTGTTACAGCTTGCCTCCTTGTTCTGGTACTCGGTGACAAACGTACCTTCGCATATGATCGTAGTATCGAGTGTAGACCGTCGTGTTCGCTGAATATAACTCATAGGTTGTTTCGCGCAGGCGAAATTGTGCAGGGCGCCATGGAATTGGAACAGCTTTTAGAGTTAGGCAGAGAGCTCAACTTGGAAGGTGAGCAGCTGTTGCGTTTTGCTCAGCAGCGCAAAGAGCAAATGGAGAAAAGAAGAGCGATAGAAGAAGAAAGAGAGGCTAAGAAGTTTGACATTGCGGAGCGTAGAGAAAGAGAAGCGTTAGAGAGGGAAGAAAGACAGAAAAAACGCGATCATGAAAGAACTATGAAAGAGTTGGAGCTTAAACAAGCAGAGATAATGCATGAAGGTAAGGATAACGATATAGATACTCACCATCCTAGTCCTAAATTCCCAAAGTTACCAAAATTTTGCGATGGGAAGGATGAAATGGATTCTTCCTTGATGAGATTTGAAAGATTTGCGACTGCTATGAAATGGCCCGAGACAGATTGGGCGACGTCTTTATGTGCTCTTCTTACAGGTAAGGCACTAGAGGTTTATATTCGTTTACCTGCCAGTAAGGCCATAGAGTATAAGGCACTAAAAGCAGCACTGCTGTATGCCAATCAACTCACTGAAGAGGGCTTTATAATCAAATTTAGATCAACCAGCCTTGACAGTGGTGAGACCTACACCCAATTCTGTGATCGTATCAAACATTATTTAATTCGTTGGGTTGAAGTTGCTGGAGTTCCAAAGTCATTTGATGGATTGGTTGATTTGCTCTTGAAAGAACAGATTCACAGAGTTTGTGGTAAAGATTTGAGCATATTTTTGAAGGAACGTCAGCCAAAAGACTTAAAAGAACTCGTACGTATCGCAGATCGATATGTTGAGGCTCATCGATCTAAGCCAGATAGAAAATCACCAATATTTGGCAATAACAAGACCAGGCCTAATCAGCATCCAAATCAATCTCAACCACAGGTGCAACCCAAAAGTTCTGATAAACTTACCAGGTCTTGGCGAGATTCCCGCACATGTCATAAGTGTGGTAAAGTTGGACACATTGCTCGTGACTGTTTTAGTCGACGGTGTAATCCAACTCAGGGCAGTAGTAGTGCTAAACCAGTTGCAAGTGTACTTACAGAGTCAACTACTCGAGAAACAGAGTCGTCAATGAAGAATGCTTCAACACCGGCTGAGACAGTGGCGACGTGTTTGCCTCTCAGAGACCATTCTGGTCCATCATTGTGCAGCTGCGGCAATCCTATTTCAGGAGAAGATGTAACTTTATCATGTGGTCATACTCTTCCAGTGGTAAGTGCAGCATGTACTGATGGGGATAGGATGCCAGTAAAAGAGGGATACATGGGACAAAAAAGAGTCTTGGTCCTTCGAGATTCAGGTTGTAGCACAGTTGTAGTTAGGAGAGACTTGGTGCAAGACAGTCAACTTACTAATCTGCTGCAGAAGTGTGTTTTCCTAGATGGTACAGTTAGAACATGCCCAGTTGCAGAGGTTACCTTGGACACACCATTTTATTGAGGTACTGTCAAAGCGATATGTATGTCAAAACCACTGTATGACGTAACCATTGGAAACATTCCTTTAGCAGGAGACCCTGCAGATCCTGATCCATTGTGGGCACCAGCAGTTATTGCAGAGCAGGAGAAGAGTCACGTGATTGAGGCCAGTGCTGTGGAAACCAGAGCCCAGAAGTTGAAGAAGTTGAAGCCATTGCAACCACTCAAGACTGCTCTGGGTGGAGCAGCATATGGGGTCCCAGTATGCAGAGACGAACTTCAAAGAGCTCAGAGGGAAGATGAGACTCTCAAGAACTTTGGAAGGCAGCAACGACTGAGGAGGTCAAGGTATCAAGCCGCGGAAATTCAACCCGTTACTGGGTAAGAGATGGCTTGTTGTATCGTGAATTTTCTTCACCCAGAATAAACAAAGGTAAAACTTTCAAGCAGTTGGTCGTTCCAGGTCCCTACAGGAACTACGTTGTGAAAGTCGCCCATGATTCACCGATGGCAGGGCACATGGGAACTCGTCGCACTACCGACAGAGTGACTTCGAAGTTTTATTGGCCAGGGGTAAATGGAGATGTCCATCGCTATTGTATT